ACAACGTAACATTGCATGAACTAAATTAAACAAGCAAGTATAGCACCTGGGGTGCTTCTAATTTTAGGGAAATCGAGAAAAAACGGCGTATATTGAAACTAAGATCTGCAACCTCTGAGTGTACTCTGGTAGCAATCAATTACAGGGTTATTAATTTCAGAATTTGGGACAAAAATTTGTTTTTTAATTCAAATTTTGAAAAACCATTAAACCGTCATATCTCGGAAACTTAAAGGGCCTATGAAGAAATTTGGGGGCAAAATTTCCAACTAATGAGAGTAACCAGAGAGCATTAAATTAGTTGGGAACTTCAAAGTTTGCTCAGTCATTCTTAATTCAAGTTTTACGAAAATGTCATATCTTGGAAACTAAAAAGATTTTAGCAGTCATATTGCAGGAAAAATTTGCAACCCCGAGACTCCGCTAACCGCACCCAACTACAGGGCTGGGAATTTCAAATTTTTTAATTCAACATTCCCGAAAAATTTGAAAACATAGAAAACGCCATATATCAGAAACTAAAAAGAAATGAGCATTAAAATTTGGAGGCAAGTTTCGCAGCGCATGAGAGTACCCCGACAATGAAGTTGTCTCACAAAAAGGCTAGGAATTTCAATTCTATGAAGGTAAGGAATTTCCTATAGGTAACTTCTTAGAATTTTTTTAAATCCTTAAAAAACGTCTCATTTCGAAAACTAAAGGCAGTTGACCAGTCGCATTTGGACGCAAGATAAAAAAATCCCTGAGGATACCCTCACAATACCCAACTACAGTTTAAGAAAATTTCGGAAACAAGTTTTATGAAAATTTCGGAAAAAATCTGAAAAAACATCATATCTCAAAAACTACCGGGATTTGAGCAGTTATATTTGAGGCAAGAAACGCGGCTCCTGAGATTACCCGTAGTCATATCTCGAAAACTACGAAGATTTGAGCAGTCATATGTTGAGGCAAGATTCTCAATCCCGCGGAAAGCCTTGCAACATCCCACTAATGGCTAGCTAGTTTTGAATCTGGAGAAATTAACAAATTCAAACTGGAAAATCGAAAAAAAATTCTTAGCCATTTCAATATACGATATAGCTTAAACATGAAAAAATTCTTTCATTATAGCCCAATTCACTTATAAAAAAAATTTTTTAAACAGAAAATATAGCTAACTGACAGTTGGAAAAAAGTAATGAACGCAAGTAAACAAAAAAGAACACTGACATTGTTGAAAAAATTTCAAGTTTTGAATTTCAAAGAAAAAAATAGATGTCCTTTAAGCTCTATGAATTTCTAGAACAATTCATGATTGGCGCTTTTTTGATAACATTAACCTAACTTGAGAGAACTGGATCAATAGGTTAAGTTTTTATTCCGCTGGGAAATCTGAAAATTAAACTCCACGATATTTCAAAATTAGAAGTTGATCGTTTTTTTCGTGAACTTAACACTTTTGCTGTTCCATTATGGAATGGAGGTTCCCTTCCTTATAACGAAATGAACCTAAAAATCAAAAATCAAACCGCAAAAAAACCTAAGCCAGAACAAATATTAAGATTTTTCCTGAAAAACAACGAAAAGAAAAATCATCGCCATCTATGTAAGAAACTGAACTACGTTCATCGACTCTTAAAACATATACGAAATAAAGGTCAGTAAAATTACAAAAACCAGAAGCAAATCAAGACACAACGTAAATCAAAACGTTAAAAAAGGAGTTCTAGCACAAATTTGAAAATCAAATAAGCAACGGAACAAAACTTACGAATAGGCAATAAAGCCGGCAATCTTTGAGCAGACACAAGTTGAGCAGAAAAAATATGATTTGATAAAAAAAATTGTTACATATTTAAGTCCCACATGAGACCAGATTGAACAACACTTGCATTTTCAACTACAAAGGAAGTTGCCTACAGCACAAGAAAAAGCTTAGCCGACAATCTTTGAGCAGACACCTGTTGAGCCGAAAAAAAATTGATTAAAAAAATTAAAGTTTCAAGTCCACCTCCCTGAACCTACAAAGAACAACACTTGCATTGCTTACAGAAAAAACAAGATTTTAGACGAGACAACTAAGCCGATAAACCTTAAGCAGAATAACGGAAGTCCAACAATTCAATTTTACCTAAATTTTTTAAATTGCATATATACTGAAAAAAAAACAAGGCCTGGCCGAGAGTTGAAACCTAGACCTTTGAGTACAAAGGCAACGGCGTTAAGTCTAGGTCAAGTAGGCAGGAACCTGAATGTTGTAAAGCTTCAATAAAAAGCAAGTTAAAAAAAATAAAACGTGTAAGAAAAGTTGTATACTGGAAAAAGTCTTGTCCCCGATATCAAGACACTTGCTCTCTCAAGTGTAATAATACCTGGTTATGTCGGACAGAAATTTTTGCCCTCGAAACAACGAAATATAAGTTCATTATGCCATAAAATGTAAACTGAAACCGTTTAATCGAAAAAATCTATACACAGATACAAAGCTGAGTTTCGCATCAATTGCGATACAAATACAAATATGAATGTTATGAAAAAGAAACCGAAAAAAAAATCAAAAAATCTTTTTTGGCAACAAAAATTGCAACAAAAGCCAAAAATATCCGGAATAAAATTTCCTGCACCGTTAGAAACTCTACAAAGAGCTTTGGGAATGCTATAATGAAGCCAAGTTTTCAAAAAAAGTCCTTTCTGTGGAACTAAGCAGATAAAAATAAGCAGACAGACTGGAATCCAAAGAGCGGGTTTTGTCGTCTCAATCATGGGGGTTACAGCAACTTGGAATAGAGCTCAGCCATCGAGCTAAGGGATCTAAGCCGACAAAAATAAACAGGCGGACGATAATCCGAAAAAGCACAAAAACGTTTGCAGAAAAAGCCATGCCGGATTCGAATCGCAAATATTTGCCATCTCAAGCAGTTGTTTTACTACCATGCCAGATGCGGCGGATGGTTTAAAACCTGAGCAGAAACCTTTCATGCCGAAAAGAAATTCGGAAAAACTCTAATCTTAAAAAAAATGTCAACTCCCTTTTCCCATCAGAGCACACACACGTGCCCAAAAAATTTTTTTTTGACGTAACGACGCAATAAGAGACCACTAAGTCGATATTACTTAGACCTTTATGGCCCCTTATGGAAAAAAAATCGAAATTTCAACAAATCGAGCTGGTTAAATTACAACCAATGTAAAAAGCAAACTTTCATTAGGCCGGATTTTTAAAAATGCTAAAAAGAACTGCAGTTAAAATTGTTTACAGCTAAAATAACGATTCTTAGATGTGGCAACTAAGCAGACAAAAAATAGGCCGAAATTTTTTTGAACCGAAACAATTACCGTTTGAAAGAAAAACGGGTCCTGGTCAGATTCGAACCCATAACCTTTGCCGTCCCTGGCGTATTCGCTACCACCAGGCTCAGCGAGCAAGAGACACTACAGATTTTGAATTCGCTATGAACCAAGAAACCACCAGTTCAATGAGTCCACTGAGTCCTGTGGACAAAATTATTTACAGGAAAAAAGTCTAGTACCCGATTGCAATACTCTTGCTTATCGCAAGGGTAATGAACTGAACCTAAATTTACCATTTCTAATTTAGACCATTCTGTGAACAAATTTATTTACTGGGGAAAAATTCAGGAACTCAATTGCAAAACCTTTGCTTTTGCAGTATAACACTACGCTGCGCATTGTAATTTCTGACCTTTTTCAACACTTTTTTTAAAATTGACGCTTTATCAAAAACGTCTTCAGAGAAGATGGGATCAATTTTAAACTGTTATTTTTCAAGTCTGTCTATCAGAAAAGTGTTAATGAATTCAACGAAAATGAAAAATTTATAATTCCAGAAAAATATATAAAATGAACTGCTTATCGGCGCGGATGCTTGCAGGTCTCCATCTATAAGTTATACTTATACTATCTAACACATAATTACCGGTAATTATTTAACGGCGCATGTAACTCTAAGAGAAACTTGAATTCCACATAATTCTCAGAGTACAACAAGTGTTCACTACTAGCTAACCCCGCGTTTCAAATCATGGGCGCCATCAAAAAATGTCACAAGCCCAAGAACGCAAAATAGCAGAAAAAATTACTTTAAAAGATCAACTTTCGAATTTCTAAGTGAAAAATGTAGGTGTTGGCTAGAAAAATGTAGGTGAATTTCTAAGGTATTGGCTAGTAAAGCTCTTTGAATTTAAACAAGTTTCTCGTTGACACTTCTTTGATAAATTATTGCAATTTGAGAAACTGGATCAATAACTAGATTTAATTTTGCTGCAAATCAGCTAATTACATTTCATTTTCGAAACTAGAAGTCGATCACATTTTTGTGACCTTTACACTTTTGCTGTTCGATAGTGGAGTTTGCCTTTCGATCAACAAAAAAATGAACTTAAATTTAAAAAATCTGAAGTCAAACCGCGAAAAATCAAATTTGAGCCTGAAGCAATTTAAATACTATTCCTGAAAAAAAAAAACGAAAAAAAATCGCGACCTATATAGAAGTCTGAACAACGTTCGCCGAATCTGAATAACAAAAAAGCGGCAAAACCAAAATCAATTTCGTTCATCTCGATTGTTCGCACTTTAATTTCATGATAGCCTTTCTTTATGACATTAGTCGCATTCTATCAAATTTTTGCTTCAACAGAAGTTTTCTTATTCAACATCAACTCTTGTTCTATACAAAGCACACTTCGCATCTCCAGACATATTCTAGAAGAGATTATATGAGTAATCGCAAGCGTAATAAAGTCACCATTCTATTCTAAACATATATGCTACTGCTTTCAGTCCGTATGTGTAACCGTTTTTATATAGTTTTGCCAAAAAAAAACTTGAAAAATGAGTCCTGATAACAGCTGTATCGATACAACTTAGCCTTTCTGGTCTTTTGATAACTTCATCACAATCATGTATAGTTTGAGCCAATTTGTTGAGCATTTTAATTAGCAATGTTTTCGTGATATCCTCATTTTTTTTCAAAAAACAATCATCCTAGTAACAATTACCTGCTGTCTGGTCGGTGGGAGGTGGAAGTGACTTGATTCGGTTGATTATGTCCGAGAAAATAGTAGTCTCGTGCTCTGGCAAAGGAGGTGCTTGCTAAAACAGCCATCTCTTGAGACTCCGCAAAAACCTCCATTTTCATCCAATCAGCTTAATGACATTTTAAATTTGAGTCGTGATATGATATCATGGACTCAAACCATTTAAATCTTCCTTAGTTTTTCATTGAAAATAAGTTCATTTGCTTAAGAAAAAACCTTTTGAAACACGACACCGAATTATTTCATAGGCAGCTCCCAAAGATCATTACCAAAATACCAGGTCATTCAAATATCGGTTCTTTCTTTTCATTTCCAACAATGATATCTCTTTTCCTAAAAACCCAATTTACATGAATGGGTACAGAAAGAAGATCAGCATTACTAAAGGCCAACTTTAGAGCGGCGATTTTCTCATTTTGATCATTCTGCATGTGTCAACTATTGCAACATCTCACTATACATTTAGTCAATATATATTAATACATTACACACATTTACATAAATTTAGGCTTTATGTTCATAATAGTTGCCTATGGGCTAATGAGCTACGTTCACAGAACCGAAGTTTCATTAGTTAAGCAGCTTAGAAAACCAAACTATGTAATAGTCATATTGTTCACATCTGAGCCTGCAAACAATAAGATTATATCTAATAAATATGCATTTTCTGCTAACAAATACATCGATTTCCTGACCAACGAGCGACATAATATACTTCCCTTCACAATTGATGGACAGAACGCTCTCTCTTTGTTCAGAAATCAAATAATATTAACAATAATATCTGAATACGTCTCACATTAAGCTTTTTAATGGCTGCCTAGGACAAAATTTTTTCGTTCGAAGAAGTTTTGACGTTACTAAGATTTTGTAATTATAGAAGGTTGTCCATAGTTTGAGGGTTTGTCCAGAGTAAGTCTCAAGAACTTTTTCAGTCATTCTAGATATTGTTTATTACCTGCATTGCCATTGCCAAGTCTTCGCTCCTTCGTTTGATCATGCTACCATGGTACACGAAAATGACCTGCTGGTACTTCTTAAATAGCATTCTCAGTTGTTCCACGTAGTACAGCATCTCAGCCAAGTGAGGCTCCTTCAGGTCCGGGTGGGGCCCAGTCTTGCCGCCTACGATTAAAACACATCATCATTTTGTCCTCAATTTAAACTTAATGCTCATTGCATATAGGCCACATGGTAAAGCGATTAAGCACATTTTGCCATAAAAACTGCCGCAATCCGTTTCATTCCATTTTCAACCACTTGAATATAATCAGTTTCATAAGATTAGAGTCGAAAGTGAAGCAGAAGCAATAGTGGATTCAATTCAACAGTTCGTGGTTCGTTGACCCGAACAGAGTTTCAACCATTTTTTAGCCAACTTGTCCACCATCTCCACGGTGATTTTCTGTTATTCTCCATGCTATTTTCTTGAATATTTAGTACACACATGAAAATTTATTCACATACAGAGTCGAAGCGGAGCTTCGTACCACTTGCAATGTAACAAAAACATAGCCAACTGACAGTTGGAAAAGATTCTGCAAATAGACAGCACTTTTTTTCGAGTTTCACAAAAAAGCCAACAGACAGTTGGAAAAGAGTCAATGAACGTAAGTAAACAGACAAAAACACGGAACGGACACAATTTTTCAAAAAATTTCAACTTTCGAAGAAAAAAATAGATGGCCTTAAAGCTCTTTAGGCTTCCAGAAAAATTTATGAATGACACTTTTTTGATAAAAATAATCCAATTAGAGAAAACTGGACCAATAGGTAAAATTTTTATTGCTGGAAACTTCGATTAACAAATTCCGAAAAAAGAAGTGACCTTTTCACTTTCGCTGTTCGATAGTGGAATTCGCCTTTCTTTGAAAAAAAAAGGAAAATAACTGAAATAAAAAGAAATCATAAGTCAAACAGCGAAAAAGTATTTTTGAGCCCGAAAAAAAATTAAAGACTACCAGAAAAAAAAGAAACAAAAAAATCATCTAAAAATAGATGGGCCTAAAGCTCTTTTGAAATTCTGGAACAATTCATGATTGACACGTTTTTGAAAAAATTAACCCAATTTGAGAAATCTGGATCAATACACAAGTTTTTGATTTCGCTGGAAAATCTGGTATATTAAATTCATTTTCCAAACAAGAAGTCAATCACGTTATCATGACCTTAGAAAAAATCAGAGCGAAAAAACCATATTTAAAATGTGAAGTAATTGTAAGGCTTCCTGAAAAAAATCTATGGCTATCGGCTCTTAAAAATAGCACGACAACTATCCTAAAAACAAGACGTTCAGAGCTTTAAAAAAAGAGAACATAGCCAAAATACAATTCGAACAGAAAAAATACCGGCTTAATTTTTGAAAATCAACTTTCAAAATTTAAAGTAAAAAGTATATGGCATTAAAGCTCTTTCAATTTCCAGAACAGTTTATGATTGACAATTTTTCTGATCAAAATTACCCAATTTGAGAAAACTGGATCAGTGCATTAAATTAATATTCCGCTGGAAAATCTGAAAATTAGAACCTTCTTTCGAGTTCAGGAGTCCTTCAAGTTTTTCGTACACTTTACAGTTTTGCAGTTTGATAACAAACTTAATTAAACGGATACTGAGCAGAGAACGCTTGGGTGGGCGCCTGTTAAGCCGAAAAAAAAATTGAGCAACAAACTAAATTTCTTGAGTTTTACAACCCCCTATGGAAGCATAAACAAATTTTTAAACTGATGGTCCTTCAAACGATAAATTATGAGGAAACTAATCAGATATAACATCCGTCAAAGCCACTAATACAAAAACGTTATAAGTGAAAAAAAAAGAATAATAAGCGAAAAAAAAAGAGGGGAGAGTTGAGTTTCAACAAACAAGGATTTTTCGAATGGAATAGCCATTTAAAATGCTGACATGTTCAAAAAAAATCAGTAACCAGACATTCTGTTCTGTTGCAATCAGAACAGCCATGCTAACTGATTCAACCAATTTTTTTCTAGTTGTTCGCCCGAAATAAAAATTTATACTCAGACGCGGATCTAAGAATTTCTCGAGATCTAGGAATTTCTTAAAAATTTTGTCGACCTTTTTTTTTAGATCGACCAAACCACTATAAAGGCCCTAATTTGACGAAATAATCTGCGCCGGCGTTTTTAGGCACTTTTTGGAAAATTTCGAACAAAAAAATCGCGCTCCCCCTCAAAATTAGTATAGATTGGCGCAAAGACGCCTTTAGAAAATTTTTGAGGTCAGTCAGCCAAAAATGGAGTGGGGAAAGGCGGACGCCCCCGCCCCCTAAATCCGCAACTGTACCTACTTGATAACGCTTGCTTATCGCAAGCGTAAAAAGAACACTGCCAGAATTTATTTCATCATCTGGCTTTAAGAAAAAAAAACATTTCTTCTCAAAAAGACGTCCTTACTAGCAGCCGAAACTATTAATTACTAGCAGCCGAAACCCAAAAAATTCAACGTAAACTCCATAACACATCTTTGTAAGTTCAGCAGGGCATTTCTTTTACGTCCATTTTAACCCAACAATTTTAGTCATGGTCGCTGCTTGAGGGCGAGAAACAACTCCACAGGCCAGGAAAATGAGCAACATTATTCAGATAGCTATTAAAATACCGTGGCTTACCGTAATACGAACACCTCTGTTGCTCTTTCCCTTTCAAAAAAAAAGAATCCCATTTTGATTTAATAACACAATTATAACAATTCGGGCAGAAAAAAAATCTGCAGAACAATAAACACCAGCAATCCCCAAGTCTTAGGCCCTTAGATAATCCTGTGTTGACTAATCGTAGCTCTAACCTCTTCCAGGGGGTTCGGTAGTGCAGTGTGCCACTAGCCAGTGAATTTCGTCTCTGGCGGCTCCCATAATCACCAGAGCCAGTTGCGTCTTCAGCCCTAGTAAGCCTGGTACATCACTCAGAATCAAATAGTTGCTCTTCAGGGATTTGCGTAGAAACATTCGCGCTCTTTTATGTTCAGAAGGCCTGAAAAACTCACCATCTAATCACTTGTTCAGAAAGACTCGACAATGAAGAACCAGCCCTGAATGCTCCGACTGCCGTTTAAAATCGGCGAAAAAAAATAGCTAAAAATTATGAAGTAATCAAAACTAAAAAAAAATCATTTTTTCATCTTTTCATCCCCGCACACGTTTTGGTAACTATAAAAGGATATTTTTTCAAACCCCCGAAACTTAACGAAAAAAGATAACAGGTGCAGTATCTTTTTAAATTTGATCTTCGGACATCAGCATGTTTACATGATAGAAAAAACCGTCAAAATTGGCTTGTTTAAAAATCAACATTTGTCTGGAAAGACACCGAGTACAAATGTTCCGTCACTTTCGTCAAAAGGCGGAACTGTTTTTTTTTGAATATTTAATTCGAAGTTGAAACAAGTAAATATCACATTGAAGCTCTTTGAATTTCAAGACCGTTTTAAAATTTGCACCTTCAACATTAAATTATGTATACTGATCGAGAATTGTTCCATTCCTCAAAGAAATTTCAAAATTGCAACTCATGTTTAAAATTTAAGTCAATTTTTTCGTTTAAATTTCATTTTTTTATTGGAGAGCGCAGGTTTCCTTTTCAACAGCAAATAGAATTGAATTTGAAATCAAACCACGAAAAAGCAAATTTGACCGTAACAAAAATTTTCCTGAGCAAAACTGGAATGCCTTAATAAGTATTTTGATTTTGTTCAATTACACCCAAAGGTCTTTGATGTTATTTAAGTTGGCAAGGGGACGATTCGTCGAAAGCGATAAATGGTCGAAAACGACAAGCGGTAGAATTTAAAAAAGAGACTATTCGTATAGAGCGACTATTTGCACCGAGCGACAATTAGTACCGACAAAAACTTTGATCAAAAACAATTTAACTTCTAGCAATGAATTTTAACAAAGAAATATATAATTTTTGATCTGGAAATCAGTTTTAACATAAAACCCCAAATTACTGAAAAAAGGTACTGTTTTGGTAACTTTTGAAAGTTCGACCAATCGAGATTGGATTTTTTCAAATTTTGCTATTTCTCCTACTTGCATTCGAGCAATTTTGTTCTTGGTTGTGCTCTGCTTTTTTCGCATGAACTGCATAAACTTGTTAAATGGATGGTCGGATGAGCTCCAACAAATTCCACATGAAAGGCTCTGTTTCAGCCTTCTGCTGAACTATGTCTTTTGCCGGCGATTCTTTGAGTTTCGAAATGGTTCCACAAAAATTGAGGAAACTGACCAGCCCCCTACGGCCACGGCTTATTGTCCCAACCCAAGTTGACTCAAAATAATCAACATAATCCATCAATGGGAAATCACCCGACTCCTCGCGAATTGAAGAATATAGGGCAATGATACCTAATTCAAAGTCTAGCTCCAGTTTGTTTGAGCGAAATTAAAAACACATCCTTTGATTACTCTAACTCGAACTACTCTGATCACTCTTTGATAACTCTCAAACTTTTTTGAAAGGCATTTATTTATAGAAGCTCTTTCAAAGCCAATCTGCGGTGGCTCTAAATTTAAATGCATTTTTTTAGTTGTCTAAATACGCCATTAGGATGATCCTCGCTCTTTTTTGCCATAAAAAAGACTAAGGGTACTGTTTGTTCGTTCACTGCTACCTGAAGAGTGAACATTTGGTAGAATAGCGGTGGGCAGTCTTTAAATGTTCCATCTACGTGCCTTACGTTGTTGAATTCTTTTTAAAAATTTATCTGGGGCTCACCTAATTTCCCCGGCAGAAATGCACGCCTAACTGTCGTGCTTTTTACATGATTAAATAAAGTTCTGTTTGAATAAAGTTCTTATGCACGTGTCATAAAACTTAATTTTTGATCTCAAGCTCAAGGAATAATTTGTTGACTATGCTCGCCGTTTTTGAATACGAGTTTAACGTTGGAAATTCTTACGGATGTTTTACAAGGCTTTTATTGCATCAGGCTCATAAGCATTTTGACTTCATGCTCATAAGGAACAATTTCTTGACTATGCTCGCCGTTTTTGAATACGATTTCATCGTGGAAAGTTATTTCAGATGTTTTACCAGGCATTTTACTGTGTGGGTTTCTAGTGAAAGATCGTCATTCAAAAACAAATTGCTGATTCCCACGCTGACTAATGGTGGATACTCGTTAAATTGTGGTTAAATCGTTTCAATTTGCATATCAATTGAAAAACCTAGCTAATTTTGTACATAATCCAGTAGCACATTTAAACCCCCTCCCTCACTTTTACGCTGAGGTGTTTCAGGTATCTTGAAAGCTGGTATTTAATCCCCCATACCAATTAAAAACTACTGATTGTCGCCTGGTACAAATTAAAGCCTCGTGCGAATTGTCGTCTTTTCAAAAACAATGAGAACTGTCGCTTTTGACCAATTGTCGCTTTCGACGAGTTGTCACCTCACCATTTAAGGCAACTATTTTTGACCGACCAACCCTAAAATAAACGTCGACCAAAATTTTAATACTTTTTTGAAAATCCTAGAGCCGAAGCATAGGATCATATAACAGAAATTTTGTTTTGGGCTTTGATAGCATAAGAACTCAATGAGAATTCGGCATAATCGTTCCTAAACTATTTGTCAATTAGCTGAAACTTACGCTTTTTCCACAGCAACTTGTAATGAGTTTTTGATGTCTTTTTTGATCTCGTCGGCAACTTTCTTGGATGTAAATGCGTCTTTCACGAATGCTTCTTGCATTAGTTCATGCAGTTTCTCAATGACATCTCGGAACAGCGGAAACGCGTACCTATTCAAAAGAAAACAGAATAAAGAAAAGTATCTAGAAATGAAAACAGAAAAATATGGTGAAAGCAAGGTTGACAGCAAACGTAACAGAATTAACAGGTAAAAGAAAAAAGGTTTAAGTAGTATAGGATAATATGATCAGGTTTTTCTTCTGTCAGCTGTTTTTTGGCCGATTTCGACTTCAAGAACACTCGTAGCTCGAAATTACTTTCTATTTTATTTTTTTTAGGTCTGAAATATTTGCTATTCCTTAGCTGAATATAGCGAAGAGCTGAAAATTTCCTTTCATTTCTATTACGATTTATTTCAAGTTGTAAAACAAATGTAGTTAATTAAAATGCTTGAAAAATTTACTATAATATGCGGGTTTATTTCGGCTGCTGGTTTAACATAGAGGCGAAACACGACAAAAAGCAGCTTTATAAAGTACGATAAAAGTATGAATAAGCCTAGAATTAGCAAAAAAGGATTTTCTATTTTACTTAAATTTTGCTATAACAACTGTGATCCGAATATTCTTTACTATTAGGACAATGGAATTAAAAGAAACACTACAGATTTATCAAAAAACCATGCGTTAAAAAAAGGGTATTTTAGCACGATAAACATAGCCAACAAAAATTTGAAAGCGTAAATAACTCAAATACGGATACTGAAAAAAAATTGTTTACTTTTTTGAAAAAACTTTTGAGTTTCGAGTCTCAAAGAAAAATACATGGCCTTTTAGCTCTTTGAAATTCGAAACTATTTATGATTGACACTTTTTTGATAAATGTAGCTTAAATTGAGAAAGTTGGTTCAAAACGAAACTTCTCTTCCACTGGGATCAAAGATCTTTGACAAGGTTAAAGGTCTTCGACTTTCAAGAATCCTTATGACTGATTACCTTTAATGAAAATGAAAATAACCCTATTAAAAAAACAGGGTCAACGGGTTTTTTTTTCAATCTACTGGGAATTCTGAAAATGAAAAATCTACTTTCGAAACTAGAAGTTGAGAGTTCGCATACAAAGGCGAAAAACAGTGCACCATTGGAAAATATTTTACGAGAGCAACAGATGTTGCTTTGCAAGAATTAAGTCTTAGAACTAAGAGTATCGAAAAAAAAAGAGGATTCAAAGCAGGGGCGGATTTAGGGGAGGGGGGGGGCGGACGCCCCCCTCTCCCTCAAGGATCCGACTCATATCGGCCCAATGGATACCCCCTTTGTACTAATTTGAGGAGATATCCATATTTGGTGACGGACCCGAAAAACTTTCTAAAGGCGTCTTTGGCGCCAATATATACCAATTTTCAGGGGGGAGCGCGCGCCAAAAAAACGCGTTTTTTTTGGTCAAAATTTTCCAAAAAGTGCCTAAAAACGCATTTATGGCCTGTATTTCACAATTTTGCTTGCGGCGCAAAAATTTTGACGAAAACAGGGTCTTTTCAGTGATTTGGAAGAGCTCGGAAAATCAATTTGGTCGACATAAAAAAAGGTCGACAAAATTTTCAAAATTTTTTTTGAAAATCCGACCCCCTCAAGAAATCCTAGATCCGCCCCTGATTCAAAGTCTCCGAATCTAAAATTCAAGCTCTCGTGTACCAGCCTAATGATTTTACAGATTATCAACGCATTAAACTTGAGCTCATTATAGTTACTTCATAGACAAACCATGTTCCAGAAGAACCGAATAACAAGTGATATGAAATGGTGCAAGTTAAATCAGAGGTTTTAGACCGAGTATTTAATTTGTTTTTTTTTCATTCGAACTTTCTTTAACGGGAATAGACAAAGAAAAATCGGTGACTCACCTATTACTCATGAGTACTCGCCACTGTTCCTTGACTGTGTCGTCCTCCAGTAGTCGGGGACAAACGAGGACCATGATAATGATCCACTTCTCTACAGTCTCCATCGATAGGTACGACGCCTCCGGCTGAATAGAGAAAATACTTTTATTCAGAGAACACAGACAGACCAAAAAAAATAAACGTTTCACAATTAAAAACGTACAAAAATATTTGACTTTACCAAAAAAGCCCCACTCAGTCAACTTATGAAATGGTCGAGTCAAATTTCTAGATAAAAGCGAAGCTGCAAACCGAGAACAAGCAAAAAATGGCAAAAGGGGGCTTTAAAAAACATATGCTATTTAAGTTTCTATATGCTAATAAAGTTTCTATTAAAGTTTCTATACACTTGCTAGAACACGACCAAAAAGCAGCTCTACCAAGTGACCTAAGAAAAAGTAGGATTAGGCCTCGAATTTTCAAAAACTCAAGGCTTGGCAAAAACTCCAATTAGCAAAAATCTGCGATCTAGCAAACTTGAGTCTCACGCAGGAACCATTCAGCCACGGATGCATAAAATTCACAAAAATTAGCCACCAATAACGCAGCTACATATGCTAATGAATTGCCAATTCGATGCAGCAAAAGTAGCACCAAATACAAAAAGATACAATTTTGCATGTAATAAATCACAAACCATAAAGCCACATTATGTATAAACTATGCATCTCAAAAAATTGTGAGATATGTTGACTCAGAAAATTTCTGAAATCGAGATTATATTATTGTTATGTTGTTTGAAACAAATAGCCTTTTTCGGTCTACTTGATGAATCAAAAATGCATCAACTGTGTAAACTTATAATTAATCGAATGTCAAAGCACATGTTATCAATAAGCTGTAAAGGTGCAACAAATTGCCAATCCGTTTGTATTGCCAATTCGATGCAGCAGGTATTGTTGCTTTAAGTCGCACCAATATTTGCAACTTAGGTTGGATAAAAAAAGAAAGTTGGTATTATAACACTTTGCTTCGCAAGTCAAGTGTTATGATGTGTAGCAGAAGTGCCGCAAAAAATGAGCCCTAATTTATATTAGTGGGATTGGAAAAAAAACTCGTAAAGAAAACTGAGCTCGTCCTACAGATTGATTTGTGCTAAATCTCGAAAAACAATGAAAAAACCGCATCAAAAAAAACGAACTTCATCATTTTTTTCTTCTAATATTAGTTCCAACAAAATTTCGTGTGTTAACAATGCCTTTTGAATGATATTAAACATTCCGTCAAAAATCGAAATTTGTCTGAAGAAAAAAAAACACCTCGAACACAATTATACCGTTTCTTTTATTACGGAAGTCGGAACTATAATAGTCGGTGTTAAGATCCTTAGCATTGGCTGTACTTAATAGCTGGTATTGATCAAAATGAACACTTCTAAAATGAACACATTTCTTCGCAACAAAATTTGCGTCGCAACAATATTTGCAACTCAGGTTGAAAAAAAAGATAGTTCATACTATAACACAAGCTATGCTTGCGTAATTATGATGTGCTGTAGAAGAGCCGCAAAAAATGAGCCCTAATTTATATTAGGTGGATTGGAAAAAAGAGAACTCGTAAATAAACAAGCGTTTATTTGAGCAAACAGTAAAACTATATATCACTAAATTAACATCAATATCCAAAGAATAACAAGGATAGCCAGTTGCTGTGCAAGTAGCACAGAATGTTCCGACCATATTCTGTTGAAAAAAAATCTTGTTTTCTAATTGAAGTCGTTTTTATTGCGTGGATAGATAAAACGATTGGAAAAAGCCTCAAACTTAGGCATATTCGGCACTCTAAGCAAAATTCGCAAGATGAACAACAATGAAAAATGACTAGAAAATAACTACATTTTAGTGAAAAAATTACAAAAGAAAAATTGTAAAAAAAGTTTTCAATTTTTTTAAAATTAGTTTCAAAAAATCTTGCAGATTTATTGATTTCTTGATTCCCAAAATGAGCAAAAAAAATTCGACAATTCATTTTACTAGCGTAATCTTTACTAGGGTAAACTAGACTAAAAATCAAAAACTTCAAACCGATTTTTGTCGACAATGAGAAAAAAATGTTTGAATTTTTTCAATGTAATCACAACTAAAAGGGCTTTTATATGATATATTACTCAACTAGTGTACTTGGTAGTGTATTTTTAGCACTCCGCAATTGTCAATGTGTGACGATTGATTTAAGTGTAGCTTCGTCCGATCAGTCACTGTGGCAATCTCAGGGTTTTCTACGAAAAAAGCCTGAGCTTTTTCCGGCCCTGAGTAAAATCCCTCGTTCTAGGCGAGCAGCTTTTGACACGGCTATCAAAGCAAAACCCGCGTCCGTTTCTATTAGGCAGTTTTCAATTATTGTGAAGAACAAAGTTGTGTATGCACGTTCTAGGGACAGTTTTATGTTTCAGGGGATCTTGTCTAGATACTAGTGCTAGATTTGAAACCGATCAGCAACTTCACCAGGGTAGTCCCAAAGTTCGCACATTGTTAACGGATCATGTACATGGGAAAATAAAGAACAGTTTGAGCAATTGATGGAAGTGTCTTAAAATATCGACAAGCAGCTGTCTATCCGACATCTATCCGGATATTATTTTCTAAAGAAAGCTTTTAATTCAGTGCTGCAATGATTTTGTTTTCGTCGAAGCTGATTTTGTTCTCGGCCGCAGTTTTTTTTTTCAAACTAATATGAAGATCGATCCATCTTTTGTTGACAAGTTGGTACCAGAAAACCTTTGGTATAAGAAGACATCCATCCGGATCTATACGTAGCTCCAGAAAACCTTTCCGGTAGCTTGTTAGTCAAGCAGCTGATGTTCTGCAAAAGAGGAGATATTATCAAGGACCAGGATCTTGGTCCTTTGGTAAAATAGTTTTGTTCAATTGGCAAATTTAATGTTTTCGATCCCCTTAGTCTATGTGGTGATGATAGTGGCAATGGAAGTATCACTCGAAAACGAAAGATTCCAAACATCCAGTACAAGAGATGGTTTAAGTATGGTTGGACGGCTGAGGGAGCCCTTGTTTCCTCTGTCTCATTTTAGACTTGTTATTTGTTAACTCATCAAGAGTATCATGTCCTTTGAGATGTGATTTTCATTCTAGTGTTGTAAGAGCAAATAGAAAACTGGATGTCTTGCAGCAGGGTTCAGTGATCCACAGAGTCAAATGCCGTACTGAGATTAATTGCAATCAGTAGCGTTCTGTTGGATGACCGGAGTTGGTTTCGAGCATTTTATGTCCGTATATTTTTAATTTAGTTTTGTAGTAGTGGAAATGTTCAACAAAACTCCTTCCATCAGTTTCGCATTTGAAGGTAACAGTGTGATCGGCTTTTAACTTTTCGCCTTCCTGTTTGTTTTGCAATGTTTAGGGAGCTGGAAAATTGCTTTAACCTTCCAAATGATCGGTGAAATCAATTACATGTTGACAATTTTTTTGTGGCAAAAAGACCCCCTCCGCCAAAGTGGTGAAACTTATTCGGTGCTTTGGGGCCAGAGCTCAGTGCTTTTCTTTTCTTTTTTGGCTCTTACTTTCCATCATTAAACGTGCTGCGTGTTGATTGCCTTAGTGGAGGTTACCTTAGGGTTGCTTTGTGGTGCTTCTGGTTTCCTGTATGATCAACTCTACGTGTCATTAATGAAACCAGAAGCATGTTATAACAAATCAACCCTACGGCAAATATTTTACAGTCCTGCCAGTTGGTGCCTTATACCAGAATGATTGGACATGTAGATTACTCAGTTCTTCTCTTAACTGAAAGCCTTTGAATAATACATTTCACATTTTTTCGATGCAACTAATCCAATTTGAGAAAACAGGATTAATAGGTATATTTTACATCCCACTAAAAACAAACTCAAACTTCAAAACAATTTTTAACGTAAGTCATTCATATTTTTGGCCTAAATTGCACATTTGTTATAGGAGAGCTAATTTATCAGATGGATTCGAACTTAAAAGTTCAAACAGCTATGAAAATTTGGGCGATAGATAACTGTCTTCGCTTCATTCATTGACAATTAAATTTTAAAACTGTTTTGCTACTCCTCTCTTAGATCATGTCAACTAACCGAATAGAACTGCGTGTCCTCCAACCCAAACTCTACAAACTGTTCAGCTATCTGATTGGGTCTCATGACCAGGTTGAACTCGTCCATATACTTCTTTGGGTCACGCATCTTTCTGTACGAAACCAACATTTGAAATCATATTAAATTGAAATTCCTTTCGAGCACAGATGCCGAAATTTATTTTTAAAAAAGCGCACTACCAAAAACTGTTAGCTTTATTAGGCAAAACGCTCATCCTACCTGCTGTAAAGCGTGCACAAAGGACTCATAAGTCCATAATGCAATACAGTCTGAAGAGATGCAAGAGCCGATTGCAGCTTGGCAATTGGTTCCAACTCAGCGATGAAGGTCTCCACTCTAACATCGCAACTCGCTGCTCCCTCACACCGAAAGAGGTATCCATACAGAGCCATAATTGCCTTGCGTTCTTCTATTTTGTTCAGCAACATCAACAGGGAGAAAAGCGTGGACAAAAGATCCAAGAAATAGAAGGCCACGTCGAATAATGACTAAAAAGTAAACTGTTAACTTCTCAGATAGTCTTTTAAAACCAAATAATGTTACAACTTACAAAATTGACGACAAGCCAAGTCCTTACAAGTTCCAATGCTGCATTTGCATCCGTCTAAAAATCAAACCCATGAATTTTAAAACAATTTCGCGTTTTGCTTTCGAATACTTGTGTACAAACCATGAACGTGTGAACATCAGTAAAAGTTTGTTGAAAAGGCTGAAGTTCACCCATGATTTTCCTGCTGTGGTCTCTTTCTCGGAGAATTTGAAAATCTTTCTACAACAAAAGAGATTGGATGAGGCGACGCAATTCCTTTACAAGAGTTATGATTTAATCACATCAGCAGCTAGAGCAGAGTAGGTAAAGAACGAGTGTTCTAATTGAATGATTATTTCAACGTATAGAAAAACAACGTGACCTCGAAGCATCGGCTTTTAGGCAATACTAACGTGGTAACTTACTGATTTGCTGTCGATTGACTGTGGGAATGGGAATTTTTTCACTAAGTTCTTTATGGCCGAATCAAATTGTGAATCGAACAGAAAAGATAACTGAGTGGCACCGGGATTTTCTCCTGAAGGTTGGGCTTTCAACTTTTCATAGCGCGCCCTTGAGCTCCCGAGCATCTAAATATCGATTTTCCATCATTCTAATTCGTATATAGAATATCGTTGAAAAAAAAAGATTTAAGTATTGCAATAACCTTGCGCAGATGATAAACTCTTGCAAGCAAACCCTTTCCATGAGTAGTCAGAAGAATAAGTTGTTCAGCCAACTTCTGATGATAATAAGTATTCTGATTCATTACTAGTATCTGCAAAAACACTTAATTTTAAGAAGAAAATTCTTAAATGAGTGCTTAACAGCCCAATTGAGCTCTCTTCTCTAATAACTTAGGTTGAAGGAATAACCTCCGAGATTGCAAGATTGGGACTTATGACATGGCAGTCAGAATAATTGAAAAAATTCCAAATTTTTAAGAGTCCAAGTTGCTACTAAAACTCAGGCGGCAAATACGAGCAGGCGGCAAATACTTTTTCATACGAGCATAGAAAAAAGTTAGAAAAACTGTCCGAGAGACAAGATAAACCTCTTGGGGGGAGAAATGAGCGATCAGTTAAGGTACTTGATAATATTGAACTGCCTGAATGGGTATATGAAGTGCTATCAATGGGCCCCAAGCATCCAATTAGAGACAAATTTAACGAAACACATTTTTTGGCGGATATCGACATTTTCCTCTCACAATTGAAAAATCAAAAAACATCTGGTGAAACGTTATGTGAAATGGAAGCCGCGCCAAAGGCATATGCAAAAAACGTACGGCAAACCCCAAGAGACAAAGCCGTTGAAAAAACGACGAAATATCTCAAGGATAATGGGTTGCTGGCTGTGCCTTTTGATAAGGGGGTTGGTTTTTGCATAATGAGGAAACAAACATATGAATCAAAGCTGGAATCCTTGTTGCAATCTGCTCAGTTTGTGAAAAAAGATGCAACCACTGATGAGGTGATACTGAAAATTGAGAAAGAACTTAACAAAGAGTTACTAGCCATGAACAAAAGAGACGAGATAAGTGATCAGTTATATTCTAAGATACGATCAACAGGGGGGCAACCCGCCCGTTTGTACGGTTTAGCTAAGGTACACAAGGATGAGACACCCCAACGACCTGTACTATCACTTCCCGGCAGCTCGTATGAGAATCTTAACAAAATGCTTGCGAAGTTTTTTGACAACATCGATGGAGCAAATATAGAAACCAATACTAAAGAGGCTAGAGAAAAAATAGAAAACATTGCTCTAGATCCGGATGAAACCATAATATCTCTTGATGTGAAAAGTTTGTACACCAACGTTCCCCTGAAGGAGGCAATTGAAATTGCTTTACAGAAGCTGTACAGCCAGGAGTCTCCTCCTGAAATTCAAAGAGCAACCATGAAAAGGCTTTTGAATATGGCGGTCAGCAAAGTATATTTCAAGTGTAATGATTCATGGTATGTACAAGTTGATGGTTTAGCAATGGGCGCGTCCCTCGCTGTAATTCTGGCAAACTTATGGCTGAAAGAATACGAATTTGCTCTACGACAACAAATACCGGTGGGAACGGGGGTACAGCAAATTAATGACAAAAACGGCTTGTGCCCATGTTGCAGCAGGAAAGTCACATATAGATCAAAGGGGGTTGAATGCGAGAGTTGCCGAAACTGGTATCATCTAAGACGCGGAAAAATATCCGATGACGTATACGCATCAATAACCGAGATAGTCTGGTACTGTGAAAGCTGCTGCCGAGCTAAGAACAAGAAGAAGGATACTCCCCAGGTGAAATTGTTCCTCAGGTATGTGGATGACATTGTTAGAACAGTCAGAGGGGAGCCGAGTTGTCTTCTCGATACCGCCAATTCTCTTCATCCAAATTTGCAGTTCACTCTAGAGAAAACTAATTCGGAGGGGAATTTGCCGTTCCTGGATTTGAACATAAATATATCGCAGGATAGGCGTGTAACTTGCAGTTGGTATCAAAAACCAACAGATACAGGGACTATACTGAACTATAGAAGCTGCGCCCCAACTCAGTATAAGCGTAGTGTTATCCAAGGCACTGTACACAGGGTTTTTAGGAGTACATCTAGCTGGGAGCAATTTGATAAGGCTATGGAACTAATAGGGCGCAATGGCTGACAAATCAGTACCCTGAAAATTGGTCCGCCAAGGTGGCTTCAGACGCCTTGTGCAAGATCATCGAGGGTAAAGGCAAGCCCCTGGATAGTGACAGGGGTTTGTCAGTTCAATCACCAAAGGATGAAAAGCCCCCAACGCTGATGGTGCAATATAGAGGTAACCAGAGCCAATATTTTGCTAACAGGTTACGAAAATTAACGAACGTTCAAGTGGTTTTCACCACAAGAAAACTACAATCATGTTTACCATCACTGAAGTCAGCATTTTCTAATGACCTCAAGTCAAGAGTGGTTTATAAACTGTCATGTAGTGGATGCACTTCCACCTATGTCGGACAAACTGTTCGACATTTGACCACTAGAATTGAGGAACATAAGAAAGCAGACTCACCGGTAGGCCTCCACCTTCAGCAATGCCAACTTGAGGGAAATAGCGCAGATCTTAGTTGGGAAATTATAGATAGGTCAAACAACCAAACAAAATTGCTAACACTAGAGGCAATACATATCAGGAAAGAGAAACCGGGCTTGAACACGCGCGATGAGTTTAGGAGCAAGGAGTTAACACTGAAAATTTAGTCCCAAAATATTTTTGGTTTTTTATTCAAAACGTACATGTCTAAATCGAAATTATGACTCAGAAACTTCCAGACAAATTAATTTTAAAATGTTTAATTAATTTTAGAGGTTAAAAGTATTTTAATCTTAATAGTAATTTAGAGGTCAACTGTGATTGGCTAATTTTTTATCATGATGGTTTAGAACCAAATTGTATGTGATTTATTGTAAATAACATTTGTAAATTGATGTTTTATCGTCATTTAGAGTAGTTTATTGTAAAAATCCTGACGATGCACATAGTTGCGAAAACGTTTGAAATTTACTTTTTAGCAAAAATTTCTTCTTTTTAAATAGTGTTAATAAACTTATTAAATAGTGTTTTTCATGTTAAATGTCTGTAATCTTGTGTGGAAGGCCCTCAATGGAGGGATTTTAGAGACAAGATTTTGAATGTCTTTTGCAAGTAGAACACAAAATAGCAAACGATCCAGATACCATATCTTCAAGACTTCTCCAACCAGACAACTCCTAATTGCTGATTCCCAGGCCAGACATCTTCGAGCAGGAAACTTGAAGGTCTTGTCACTACCCGGTGCCAGTGTAAGACACTTTTACAATTATCTGCCTCCTCATGATCTGTTCGACCTCGTCATTTTTTTTGTCGAAGGAAACGATCTGTATAACTACATCCGACCGACTTTAAACCCAGCTACCCAAGTAGCCGACGACATTGTTGACTTAGCAAATTTCCTTTGTGAACGAGCTTCCAACGTATTCGTCATCGGTGTACCGGAGCGTGACGAAAACAAAACGAGATCAAAATCTGTAAACGATCTCTTCTCGCCAAAGCCGAAAGGAAATCTAACAAGAAGGTCGAGGTCAAGTAGAAATTCAGAAACTTGGCGAATTTTATCACGGGTAACAGATATTTTACGAACGATCACTACCATCTAAACGAAGACGGTCTGAACAACCTGAAAAATCTCATCGAGGGGAAAATTCTGTATAAGAAGTACTCGAAGCATTTGAACGACAACGGACACTTTACTGAACAAGAGTGCCCCACCAACAACTGTCAGTGCACCTGCAGAAATTGGTAGCTCATGTATACATCAATCTTTTTTTTCTATCCTTATCTTAACGTATCCGTTACAGACTAACTTAATCTACCAAAGGTCCCTTCAGGGGCTCACAGGTAGATTTTGTTAGTTGTCTCCACTGGTTTAATCTTTCCAAAAGTCCCCTCAGGGGCCACCGGCTAAGTTTAAATCAATCTGTGTTTAAGTTCTCCACCCCAATTCTAACGAACTATCCAATTGCCCCAATCGAACTCAAGCAAGTGAAATCACGCGTGACAATTGCGCTACGTGCAACAGGAAAGTTAAAAAAGACAATAAATTCGTTTGTTGCATTTGTAATAAAACACTTCATTTAACAACAGAGTGTACTGAGTTTGAAAAGAATACTATAGAAGTTCTCATAAAACTTAACGACTATCTTATCCACAAAATTAACGACTATCTTATCGACTATCTTGCAAACCAAAAAAACAAGATTTTTTTGTCAATTTTGGAATCAAAGTTGGAAACAAAAATAGACGAAATTCTGAAAAAGTTTCAAAACGAAACAAATAATCAAATGAAAAAACTTCAGGAACAAATGAACACCGATAAAATTGAAAAGACAAATAACATCAATACAAATGTTCAATCGCAAGCAGGGAATTTCGGGACCCGACATTTTTCAAACCCGAAACCCGATTACCCGATAAGCTAAAACCCGAACCCGAACCCGACGGTTTCTTCAAACCCGAACCCGAACCCGACATTCATTTCAAACCCGAAACCCGGCCCGAAACCCGAAAAAAATCTCAAAACCCGATTACCCGAACCGATACCCGACATGCCCGATTTTCAGGTAGATTAAATGGTATGAACGTTGACGCAATAAATTTGATGCGTTTTTAGAGTGTAACTTTCTCTTACAGTGAACAATAAAAATAGCTGTAAAAACAATATTTATGCAATAAATGTGTATTAAAATGGGAATGTATATAGAAAACAAAAAAGTTCAACGGAAATGTAAAGCTGTATTATTATGAAATAGGAACGTACAAGTACGTATTAAACGCATTCCTCGGTGAGTTTCAAGAACACGTTGCGTGTAAAATTCTCCGTTTTAAGTCGCGATTGAATATCCTATGAAAGTAAAAAACCTCAAACAAAAGAAGAATTGGGAAAGTTTTTGTCGAAACCGAAAGAAGCAAACAAAAGTCGGGTTTTAGAAATCCGACATAATTGAATACCCGAACCCGAACCCGAACCCGAAAATTTGTTGAACCCGAAACCCGACCCGAAACCCGAAATTTGTCTCAAAACCCGAAAACCCGACCCGATACCCGAAAACCCGAACCCGAACCCGAAATGCCTGATCGCAAGTCATAAACGTGAAAAAAGATACCAAAACATACAAACAATCCTTAGGAAAAGTGAATCTTGGAAAATCAGTTTCAATTCCCGAAAAAACTACGCTAGGAGTATATATACGAGATATACCAGAATCAAGCTCA